GTTGGAAATTCTGAACATATACTGCTTTTAAAAATTTTATGATTTTTGGTGTTGAAATTTATGTGGCGTAAGTGCGAAGAAAGCGATTATTAATAGCAAAGTTAACAAAAACAAAAAATGTTGTGTTTGCAGGAGTAATTTCAAAAAGAGATTGGTATATAGACTGCGAGCTAAGAGCATAAGAAAACCTCAACAAAACTTTCCTTTTTTAATTATTTTTAATTTGTATTTATTTTAATTTATTTATTTATTTTCCTTTGTGTACTGCAGTCTTTACTGCCAATGAACAATCGTTCTGCTAAGACGAAAGGAATGCTTTGCCAAATTGCTCTACAATAATCCATAAACCAAGATACAGCTTAAAGAATTTGCTTTTGTAGACAAAACTGCTGTTATCCAGATGTAATTGCAAACTGTAATGTTGGTATTGGTTAACAACTGGCACTAATTATTAGATTTATAAATATGATGCACATAGTATCAATACCCGTAAGTACATGTATAGTTCATTGTAATTCCTTACAGGCTCAATCTCAATTTAATGTGTTCTTAAAAATTGTTTTACGAGAATGTTTTAATCACAGACATACGCAGCTGGATTATGACAATCTATCAAATATCTAAAAAAAAGAAGTTGTTCAACATTGTATAGAAGATTTTAATCTGAGAGCTTTTTTAATAATATCTTTTCTCAGTCACTGAACTTAGCTGTAAATGATATTTTTATGACATTTGTATAAAAGAATGTCCTTTCAAACAGATAGGAATTTCTCTGTATTCCCATTCCATTAGGATGCACTTAGCACCCATCAACATCTAATATTGCTCATTTCCGAGTGATTGAGTAATTTAAATCATTCTGACTGATACCGAAGAATCTTATGATACTATAGAAAACACACCTGATTATGAATCAGACAATAAGAATGACAAGACACGAAACTAAATCTCTGGTACCTAAGCTTGTAGAGTCATTAGGTTATTTTGAAACAGAAGACATACATAATGTGCAGTGCCATGAACGAAACTGGAACTCTGTGTCTGTCGAATACGCGTCGAGTTTGCTGCCAATTACACCACGAATGTATGCGGAGAAGAGAAAATACCTTATATATTACCCCTTTTAAAGGGCGAGTGGGGATGATGCTATCCAATCGCTGGCGACCATTAATCGTCCACCACATTTTAGTTGGGGCGCCACTTGTAGAGTCATGAAATCATATCGATGCTGGATAGTTTATTGTAGAAGAATAATAGAATTCTTCTTTCTTTCTTTCTTTCTTTTTTCTTTTAGTGTACGCCTTTACTGGAGATAGGTAAAATTAATTTTCAAAAAGCTTTCGGTTAAACGTTTAACGATTTCTTAAGCTTAGAATACAAAATGGGTGACAATGATTCAGCTTTTCGGATCTCAAATCATTTTTATGTTCCTGAAAATATGTGGATTATCCATACTGAAATAAAATTATTTTAAAAGACTCATGGAACAAGATCTCTTTTCCGTCAATTATAATGAAGATTGTGACATAATTTACTTTCAACTACAAAGACATTTCGTCATCTGTCTGCTAATTAATTCCACTTTAATGGCATAGTTTAGGCCAAATTCCCTCCCCCCCCCACCGAAGATTGCTCCTCTACGCAAGTGCAATAGTCAATTACACTGGTTATCATAAATTAAGGAAAAATCACAAAAATAGCGATAACTCCCTCAAAAATAAGCCAAACCGTGCAAAATTTGAATACGTTGCCAAGTAAGAGTAGCTGAGTAAAACTGCAATATGCAGATTAGTGGCGCTGCTTTCGGAAAACGTCATCTGCAAGGAAATAAAAGTTCATGTTTGAGAGCAAGCCCACCTATTTCATTGTGACAGTGACATCAGAAATCTGAGATAGCCAATTCTTAACAATGATCTCCAGGCATCATTTGCCTGCAGAACTGCGATGGAGAGCCATTGGGAGACTAGAGGCAGGACAAAGTCAAACAGAAGTAGCCAGATGGCTAAATGTGAGTCCTTCTGTTTTTCATAGACTTTGGAGGCAATTTCAAACCATTCGATTTCCGGACTTGAATCCTTTCGAGCACGTTTGAGATGCTTTAGGGAGACGTCTAGCTGCTCTCAATTCGTCCTTTCAGACCCTTCCAGAAGGAGAATTTTTACTTTCACATTTTTTTATTAACTAATAAATTTTTGCTGAAAAAGTAAGAAGGAAACTTAAGCATAGAAAATTAAATGCAACTTATAGATTATTTTCATGAAAAATTACCAGTAAAAACTTTATAAAAAACGATTTTTAATGGCCTTTGTTAGTTAACTATATCGGTTTAAAATTCTATTAAGTGGTTCATTAATTTTCTTGCTTAAGTTCCTTTTTATTTTCTCAGCAAAAAATTTATTGATTAATAAAAAATATGAAAGTAAAAATTACCTTCTTCCATCTTGCGCTCACAATCATTACGGAAATATCCATTTACAATTATTAAAAACCTAAAAAAGTAGTCTGCGATGTTTCGTCATGCGATGATTGTAGATACTTATTTTACCACGATATTTCGACTACGATGTTTTTAAACTGCGAAGTTTTTGAACCGCTTTATTTTCGACGTCGATGTTTTGTACCACGATGTTTTAGAACTGCGATGTTTTCTCCCACGATGTTTTGTAGCACGACGTTTTCTCCTTGCGTTGTTTTCTCCGAGATGTTTTCGTCTGCGATGTTTTTGGCGCGATGTTTTCGGCTGTAACCGGCTCTCGCTTCCTATGGAACTGATAGACCGCATAATTGAAAGCATCACACATCTCTGTATGTGCTGTATTGCTTCTAGAGGCGATCATATTCCATATTGAAGGTACTTCTCCTATAGCAAACTGACACCTTCGATTTGTTCATTTTATATATGTACTAATTTCTATACTACCACATTTGACTGGTAATTTCTTTTTATGTTATTTGATACCTTACTATTGTTGTATATTGTGGGTAAGTTTTTCATTAAATTCTACATGTAACTTTTTCAGTAATCCTGATTTTTGTGATTTTTCCTTAATTTATGATAACCAGTGTACTTTCCCCATAGAGAATTTATTCAGATCAAAAACTGCTTTCACAGATATTGCCTCAAATTGACAGTAATTTGGAAATTTGTGAACAGTTAATTGATGAAGAATTTGTTAAAGCTATTCAAGAAATGTTCAAAGAAAAAAACGAGTATCAAGATGTTCAAGAATCGACGAGTGCTTTTGAAGTATGTAACAGAAAAATTCAGTTGCGCTGTCAATTGAGTGTGTGCATGCATTTATTCTTACGGAGTGTTACAAAATGCACTGGCGCGGTAATATGGCTTTCCCGCAAAGCAGTTTTAGGGTTGCCATAAAATAGAAAAAGAAGGCAGTGTTGCCACGTTTGGCGAAAAATCGCCCGTTTGGCGACATTTGCGACCAAAATTGGAGATGAAACCTGGACGGTGGAGACCTTCTAAAGAATTCTTACAGTTTTAGCCAATGTTCTCGAACACAAGCGAAGCTATTAAACCTGCTGCCGCAAAGTTAGTTTGGCTCATCGGAGGGTGAGTGAGAGTGTCTCGAAAGTGCAGATAGTCAGTAATCGAGTATATGTTTTCGTCTAACGAGTGATAGTCATTTTGAGAGAGTGCCTCTAAGAGTAAAAAAGTTAGTCTTGAGTTTGTCATCCGTCGAGCGATCAATTTGACATCCGAGCAGCGAGTGCGAGTGGGTCGTCGGTTCACCGAAGGAGTCTCTTATGTAATCGCGGTTAGTGCAGGTCGAGAGACGTGTTCACTCCGAACGACTGAACCGAAGAGTCGGGAGCCGTGTTCTGTGTGTCGTCGAGTGCATCGCGAGTTCTAGAGTGGAGAGTACGTGGAATTCCGAGAACGACCAGAGTCGGGAGCTGTACTCTAGTGCTTTGCCGTGAAGCTCTCTCCACCGTGATAGCCTAATAACCTGGAGGCGGTGTCGCTTATCGTGTCAGCGTGTTTATAGTAGTTCATCGACAACTGTGAAAAGGTGTATTTTCATCAACAACTGTAAAAAGGTGGTATTGTGACTTAGGTAGTATTGTCATTATTCACTCCAAATCCTCAGGAACCCCGTACGAACGTGAAGGAAGAAAATTACGTAACAACTGGTGTCAGAAGAAAACAACGCAACAGGAGGCAAGGAATTGCAGTTTAGACAAGGAATTATAGTTTCACAGTTTCGACAGCATGTTAAATACTGAAGAATTGCCTAAAATATTTAATATTAATTGGTTAATCAGCCAAATATTGGTCAGCTTTTCTCCAATAACTTTGTAGTGTATATTCACATAGTTAATAGCTATTACAGTGTCAAAAATATTTATTTCCTTTCTATTTTATTTCCTAGTTTTTCAGTTTTTTAATTATTTTTAATTTCTTCAACGTATTTCACTTTTCACATTCTAAACGTAATATTTTAAAATATTTTAAATAATTCGAACAATTCTGTTAGTCCCTACTAGTTCGGATTATCTAAACTATTCTGCGTAAAACACTCAAATTTTATCGCAGAAAGTATTTTCTTTAATTTATAAAACCCGGTGAAACAAAAGTCTCTTCGGCAAGTTTGACTTATTTTCAATCCAACGAACATGTTGTTAGCTCTTAATACTAAAGCTAGTCATTTTAAATAATTAATTGCAGCATAAACTCTAGATTTGAATAACATTTGACTATTATAGTTAAAGGCTTAGAAAACAGATCACAGTATTTTATTTGGAACCATTTCTAACTCTTGCAAGAAAAATTACATTCATTTCAATTTTCGTTTGTACTAACTACTGAAAGTGTAATGTGTTCTATATATTAGCCGTCCCCCCCCCTTTTTTTTCGTAGTAGCATTTCACTTACTTAAGTAAAACGAGTAGAAATGTATTATGTAACTATGATTATTTATTGATGAGTTCATGGAAAGGATTCTGAAAGCTAAAATTGCAAATATTTTCACATAAACATTTTAAACTATTCATTATTTTATTTCGATAAATCAATTACCATCTTAAGCGGAAAGTTTCAAAATTTTCGCTTAGTTGTTACCTGAACAATAAAACTGAACAGAACAATTTTATATAATTTACTTGCAGAAAATAGCAAAAAGAGAAAAATCTCAGGTAGATATTTTATTTAAAGATTCGTTGACAGAATTTCATTTTTCACCACCTTCAGCTCCACCTCCTGCTCCGCCTTCAGCTCCAGCTCCGATATCTGCGCCTGCACCTGCCTCTCCATTACCTTCACCTCCACCCTCTCCTCCTGCTCCTCCAGAAATTCCTGCGTCAGCACCTGCCTCTCCTTCACCTCCAGCTTCACCTCCACCACCTTCTTCTTCCTGGGGTAGAGCTTCAGCAATCAAAATGGCTGCTGCCAAGAAGCAGGCCATTGCAACTGTCTGAAAAGAAGACATAAATATTACGCAAAGTAAAGATTTCCGGGAAAAAATTTTTATGATACATTGGTGTAAAAGTTTGATGCTTTAAGCCAGTGGTCTCAAATTCAAATTTCAAGCCGGCCGAATGCACTATCTAATGTGCTTATTTTTTTTAATAAAATAATAATTTTTTAACTAGATAAAACTTTACTTTAACCAAATATTAACAAAGTAAAATTAAATAAAAAATCAATTAAATTTTAAATTTCTCTTGCTAAACACATATAAAAAAATTCTGATGTGTACACGACATGACTTACTTGTATGGAATACTAAATTATACTCAATTTTGCTGCATTTCATTTAAACTTATTTCCTCGAATTTCATTAGACATATTTATTATTTAAATAATTCAGTTCTTACTTCGCGGCAAAACAAAAATATACATAATCCAAAATATCTTCATTAAAAATTGAAAAATATGGAAAATACACCAAATACAGTTAAAGGAATTAAGAAAATTAAAATTAAAATTAGAGTTTCTATGCAAAAATAAGTAATTCGTCCGGCGTGCAAGAACTATTGCTCTCAGATTAACTAACAGCGTAAAAGCCTTAACCGGAAGATAAGGACAAAATTCAATCATTTTTTAAACAAAAAATACACAATTTACCCACATATAAGAATAAAACATCTGAGCTCATGGAGCCAAGTAACAGAATAGTATGTGTGTATATTATATATTTAAACAAATGTTAATTTTAATTAACAACACGTATAAAGTAAAAAGCAACTTAAAGCCAAAAAAGAAAAAAAGCCAAAATATTTTTAAAAATATATAACTTTCGTGCGGCCATGCAAACCAAAAGAGAGAGGCACAGCTACATGGTATAGCGTATTATACAAAATTTCAACTTCTGAGCTACTCGTTTTGAGTTATGCGAAATACATACATCATACATACGACGTACAGACGCACGAAAAAAATCCCTTTCTGATCCATTTAAGCATTTTTGCTGCCGTTTTGGGAAAGAGTCCTTAGTCTGTCCTTACGTGTAGATGTCAAGCAAAATTATCGTTAAATTGCATTCGATAGCTGTCAAAATGAGTATTTTCCTTGAAATATGATGCCCGAAAATTTTCGCGATTACAATACTTCCTTTACTTCGCACAGGGAAGTAATAATACATAAGCATTACTAATTATGATAGCGCTTAGAAGACAGGAAAAGGGAAAATTCAAGTTTATATTTATTTTCTATCTGAAATCCAAAGTGTGGCACCTTGAAAGAAATTTCTGTTCGCTACATTTTTAATTCGTACAAAAGCACATTCAGAAGTTATGACCAAGTCTAAATATAGGTTTCGATATAGGGTACATCTTTATCGATACAGCAATATAAACTACGCAGCTGTGTAACCAGCCAGTCAACTAGTGATTTGACACAAATTTTCCATCAGATGTACAAAATTTGTAGAAAAAAAACGAAAAGACCACAGCACTAAGCACTGCCAATTGTCGGCTGGCCAACTAAATATACTGATTGTAAAATTCTCCCACTTTACCCCAGTCCTGTAGCTTGGTAGGCATACAACGAAAAAGACAAAAACCTAACCTATTTATTCTATCCCTTTTGAATTCAACAGCAGGAGCGTGCATAAGCTCAGTCCATATCTCTATATCTCTAAAACTATTATTACCGTATTTCAAATGAACAACTGAAAATATCTTAAGGGGCTACCAGTTTGAGACCACGGCAATCTCATATCAGAAAAAATACTGATAAATTTTAAAATGTATAAAAAAACTACAGCTTTCATATTCCACTTGACTACAAAGTTTCTGTACATTTACAAATATCAACCCTTTCATTGGAAATCAAATATGAGATCTAGCTTACGGTAACCCGTTTCTACAACCACTAAGTCATCCATGCCTGCATCAAAACTGCTATTTTTATTTAAAATCATCCTTTTCACTGTTTAAATTATTAACTTTATTTCTTTCTGATCATCTTTGAGTAAGAAAAACTATATAAGTAACAATATAGGTTTCGATATAGGGTAAACTATATAAGTAACAATATAGGTTTCGATATAGACTTATTACAACAGAATCAGAACAACAACAGAGATCAGTGGCAAGTTTTATCAGTTTGAAATATTAGTTTCAAAGTATGAGTACAGAACCTTCTTCTTTAGCAGCAGAAGCACATTAGGCTAACGATCGAAAGATCAGGAGTTCGAGTCCCGGCAATAGCATTGCACACTTATTTCCTTGATTTTAATGCCAAAGTGCCCCTGCTAATTTATACGTGGATTTATGTACTCTTACTAAATTGCCTTTATTTCTTAGGCATATTTCAAAATATAGGTATTAACACTTTCTTATAGACCTTACCAAAAATATTCTAGGCCGTAAATGTACGGTCTTGGCAATCAAAGTATTAGGGAAGTTTGTAAAGTTTTCCAAGTTTCCAATTAAACCACAGAGGCATGCGGTATTTTCTGCCACTATACCGCATGCCTCCGTGTTTAATTGGAAGCGCGTCCGACTAGCAATCGGGAAGTCTGATGTTCAAATTCCCGAGAGCATATTTACCATTCGCCCCTACAAAGCTGTTGTTGTTGTTATTGTTACTTATGCTTACTTGTCTGATAGTAACATCAGCCCAAGCCCACGAAATTCCTTGTGGCAAGGAGCGCAAGATAAGCCTGTCGTCGGCAACAGCCTTGAGTATCATTACAGATGGCAGTGCGATTTAGCTGAGTTTCGTCCTCAATTTCAATGGACGGGTGCTGTCCATCAACATATTGCTGTCCCCGGGGGTTCATCATACACATCGAAGCGACGTTGCTGAAGCATGGAATTTCCTACGTCCAATTTATTCAGCGAAAGAAGTTAATATTTGGCAATTCGCATATTGTACGAATATAGCAAAATCCTTGGCAGGTATATCCTTTATGCCACTTTTCTTTTATAGAAGTCTAAAATCTATTCTCGGGAAGAACTATGATTTACGAAAGAAACCACAGAAGATTTTTATCTTTCTAGAATGAAAAAGTAGAAAGAAAAAATATTATTGCGCATTTTTATTTGTTGTAATGACTACAAAATCTTATTACTTAGTTTTAAGAAATCGTACTGATTTAAGGCACTTTTTCAAAAAGCGTTAAACATGCATGAAAAACATTTTGTGAATTGGTAGAGACATTAGATTTTTTTTTCTATGCTGAAGATGTGGAAAATGTGCAGTGACGCGCTGGGAATCGAATCCTAGAAGTCTCGAATACATGCCGAATATGTTTCTAGTTTCGCCACGAAAGAACGGGAAAAAGATGAAAAGCCTTATACATTAAAAATATTATTTTTAATATTTTATGCTAGCCATGCTAAACTATAAACCTCGATTGCCAATGCTATGGGGAAACAGGCATAGAAATCGTAGACACTCAAACAATGATATGGTACTGCTAAATGATTGTCTTCCTTTCTGCTTCCATACCACAAAAACTACATCTCTCACTATCCGATCTTTGACAACTCAAGATGATAAACACAATCATTACTCCAACCATCTTTAATTATTAAAATGCAGGTTTTTTGAATTTTTAAAGTGAAATTATATACTACATTGTATTATTAATTAGACTATATGTTTGTTACATCATTTTATATTTTTGTAGTTTACAGATTTAATTTTTTAATATAATTTGATAGGTTTATTTTGTAAACTAAAACTCTTTTTCCCATTGAAAATAATGGTAAATGGTTGATTGCTTTACACCACTTACCACAAGGTTTCATAGAAAGAATGTCTTCATTATGCAGGAAAACATATAGTATTACAAAATCCGATTTTTTTATGTACACCTAGTATTTTACGTTGAGTATAAAGCGAGCACGTTAAATATGTGCAGTATTAAAAACTGCCAATAGGTCAACACTTGGTCAAGGCATAAAAAAGCACTATAAACAAACTGTAAGGATTATGTTAATTTTATTAAACGTTAAATTTTGAGTTAAACTTCCTTTCCTATCGCTTCTTAATTTCAACTTACCACTTCCGGCCAGAATGTAGTTTTAGAATCACGTCTGAATGTCAATCACGGAAAAGCGGTATTTAACCCCGAATTTCTACTTAGTCAGGTGACAGGTGACAGCAGGGCCGGACACCCGGACGGCTTTCAAAGACTAATCGGGTATAGTCCAGGACCCGCCCCATCTAGAGTATAACATGTTTACAACATAAAATACCTAGCGTTGCATTACCTACACGAAAGGTGGACATTGCATGGATACATAACATAGCTCAGCATACACATGACATGGCGTAGCATTTCGACATGACATAGTATAGAATATTGTCATTGCATAGCGACATATTTACAACATATTTACAACATTAAATACGCAACGTAATGTAACTTACACGACAGGTGGACATAGTATAGCGACATAACATAGTTAAGCATAGATAAGACATAGCGACATAACATAGTTAAGCATAGATAAAACATAGCGACATAACATACTGAGGTTACATATTTATTTACAACATACAGTTCGAAGTATGGCGTGACCTATGCGACAGGTGGACATTGCATGGTGACATATCATAGCGCAGCGTAGACATCACATGACACAACATTACAATATGATATGACATAGCATAGCATAAGGATTACATATTTACAGCATTAAATACACAACGTAACTTAACTACATGAAAGGTGGATATAGCGTTGCGAGATACCATAGCATCTCATAGACATAACATACATAGTATTGCGACATAACATAACCAGAGATTCTGATTAGCACGCGTCCTCCTTTTTAGGCTACTTTCTCTTAAGCTATTATTACGCTCGGCCGTACTTTAGGCCCTTGATAGCTTCGCAGTCAATTAGCGTTAAGGGACCAACTCCGTTAAACTTTTGATAGCTTCGGCTATATCTCTTTAGTTAAGTTTTAATTCTTAGTTTCCTAAGTTCAAGCCCGAGTGTCGGCTTTATTGTAAAACTCCAAAGACGGAGTTCTGTTAAACTTTAGTTGGAATAATAAAGGGTTATTTCACCCTTCTCAATTGTTGTTTTCTATCTCACGAACACAAGCGATTATTCGCTTACTAGTTCTTAAGATTCTTCACATTCAACTGTAACTTAAGGTACACAATGCAGAGTCTTACAAAACTATGTTGAAATCTTACCTGCCATTTTCCTTTATTCAGTGCCCCTCACTGATCTCATATGAACTTTGTAGCTTCATTAATGATATTTAATATACGCACAACTGACATTATATATACACTGACATTACAAAATATAGTCGATTACAAAACAGTCATATCATGTCAATGGTTCCTCTTTCTCTGAGCATGCGCTACCTATTCCTTTCAAACTCAGTTTCTCCCAAACGTGGTAAATCATTAAATTTATTCTCGAGTTGAGTTTCCTGGGACGAATGGCAAACATGCCGGTTAAGGCACTGCACATTGTTGTCTCCTGCTTCAAAAAAAGTCTAATGACTCTACAATTTTACATATAGAACGTGAAGAGTAGCATAACATTCCTCAATAATTACATCATATAGGCGCTGTAGGGTGTAATGTTGCGGAAGTAAATTTTATCCTTTAAATATCCTCACATGAAAAGGTTTGGTGATCTGAGGCAACACCTTTTAATAGTTCCAACACCTTTTCAGTTAAGAGGCGTTGGCTGTGGTCAGAAGAGCGTACCGAGCATTAAATTCACCCGCGACGTCTGGGAATGCCTAGTATATCCAATTCCACACTACTGGGGCATCATTAGAGAAGCTCCACCCTGCTGCCACCAAAACTGATCAAAGTGGTTTCTTGTTGGAGTAAAGGAGTAAAAAGTGTTTCTAAAGAATTCCAAGTAATTCTCACCATTAACGTCATCTTCAAAGAAGGAAGCAACTTTAGAGCATTGTAATATGACAACTCCGAAATATGTGATAAACTAAACCCATCAGAAAATGCACTTTAGAAAGACGTTATTTGGACATTCAAACTGTGGCTGTGGTCTACTATTTTTAGGCCACTCGGTATGCAGAAGGAGCATTTGGTTTTTTAAATCACATTCTGTTCGAACTGGATAATTCGCTCGTTAACGCATATTAGTGAGTTTTGCGGATAATTGAATATACATTGCATTAAAAGAAATGTTAAACACTAGCATGAATTTAGTAAAATCGAAATAATACGAAATTTAAAAATCATCTAATCTATCACTTCTCGAACTTTTTTCAGGCGAGGACAGCTTTCATAAATTAGAACGTTCTGCCGACCACATAATTCTTGTCCTCCTTCAAAAGCAATTTTTTAATCATATGTTACTACCAGTATATATATATACTTTTAAAATGCAATTAATTAAATTTCGTTTAATTTTCTATTTATATTAAATAATTAAATCAATAGAAGAAAATTTATATATTCGTTTTTAGCAAATTTGAGACTATTAGAATTCCGATAATCGTTAACTTATCAACTAAAAATCAAACTCTGATAGTTACATTTATGAGAGTGATAAGCCTGCCCATTCTTGTATAATTATTCTATGTTTGGATGTAAACTTTTAAGAAATATCACAGTTACAATGCTTTACGTCTGTCTTTTGTTCGTAAGACTAGAGTAGGAAATCCGTAAGTAAAGTAACCAATAATAAATTTCATAAAATGACAATCTTGGAAAAAAGTGTTAAATGATTTCAATGTGTAATTTCAGAACTCTGAAATGTTCACCTATAGTATGTTATATATGCAGTGAATTTGAATTTTATTAATGCGCGTTCGAGAAATCTAGGAGGATTTGAAACAGGCTTAAGGGCCCATTTTTTGCACGCGAACCCTACGCTACGAATCTCTGGTCTAACAACAATTAAATGAGCTTATTTTCTCTAAACTTCCAATGAGGAAATTCTGAGAAACTTTAAGCACTGACTAGCTTCGGCAATGAAAAGGTTCTAAGACAAAATTTTGTCTTGTTCTCACATAAGCTCAGGTCAAATAATCTTCCACTTTAGGTCGGATAATGTTTCAGCCTTTTTCAGTTAAATGCTACTCATAGATTAGAAAATTTCTTGGCATACTTCAAAATCTTTTTCCGGAGGCTGGAACACATATATCCTTAGCATTAACTACATAAAATACGGCTCGAGGACTTTAAGACCACTCTAGAGACTTAAAATTTTGCTAAATAAAGTGGAGTGGAAATGTGGAAAAACCTATCACTTCGTTTTTCTTTACTTTCCTGACTGAATACTTTTTTAAGTGGCCAAAATGAATGAAAAATTAATGTCTATAGCACACGGTAAAGTGTTAAATTAAATGGTTGCAAAACTACAATTTTCACAGCAAGTGGATGTATTTATCTGTTCTTAAAAACTTAATTTGTATATAATTTGTACAAGAAATAGCTAAATAATTGTAATTCTGCTTTGATTTCCTCTGATGATTTCCGTTGAATGTTAATATTTACGAATGGTATATTAATTTAAATAAATATGGTATTCATTTTGGAGTTAAAGCATTAAGTTGATATTTCAATATTATTTGTAGTTTCGTTAACATACAAATTCAAACGAACTTTGGATCACTAATCTGTATTAGTCGATACAGCAGTTCTTGACATACTAGGTAATGAATTCCCTTAATATACTGTTCTTTGGTAGCGGAGCAATAGGTTAAAACACATTTTTAAATTGCGTTCTAAATATTCTTAATGAAATTAATATGTATTTAACGGGAAAGCCAATTTGAACTACAGAGATTTAGAAGAATGTCGCTCAACAAGCGACTAACAATTCTTCTCGCTAGAATGTCCCAAACATGTTCTAATGGGTTCATATCCGGAGAAAATGCTGGCCAATCCATTTGAAGGATTTCTTTCTCAAAAGGGAAACTGTCCACTAGCTGAGCCCGATATGGCCTGACGTTATTATCCATGAGAATGAATTCAATCTCTATTGCTACTGCCCACAGTAGATCTTAGAACCTCAATCCTATATCGCTCAGCCGGTAGTGCTTCGTTTTTGATAATGTGCAGGTCGGTGTGGCCATTGATAGAAATGCCGACCTAGACCATCACTCCGCTTCCCTTAAATCGGACACTTTTATGCATAAATGTAGGCGTATTCCGTGTATCAAGTTCTCCACAGATGAGAATCGTCCTATTGTTGATGCTGTATACTAAAGCGGGGTTCATCCATGAATACGTTACTGCTCCACTCATCTCGTCCCCATCTGAGATGCTCCTCTGCCCAACTTCTACGGGACGCAAGGTGTTTTCTTGTGTCAATGAAACACAAACTGTAGGTCTGCGAGCATATAAACCCATATGGTGGGGTCCGTTTCGAACAGTTTGAATCAAAACTCTGATAGCCAGTAACCCCTCTGAAGGTGTGTTTGCAAAAAGTGGTGTTCATAGTGCGGTTTCTTCTAGTTGTTAGTGTTAAACACCGTTTTTTTGTTTTGTGCTCTTGTAAGATCATGACCTTCTCCCAATCTTCGGGGAACATTTCCATTTTCCAAACCGATTCCATAGTCTGGAAATAATATTTTGAGAAACTCCTAACGCTTTCGCTACAACGAATAGCCTTTGACATGTCTCTAAACGACTGATGGCCCTCCAGGTTACTGACTGAGCTAAGTCATCTTGCTGGCACATCGTATTCGCTGTTGCAAAACATCCACCGCGTGTGAATTGTTTTTAATCTCCGTTAATTTAACAGAGGTTGCAGATCGCTTTTTACTCCTTAACTAAAACAAGTAATTTTCGACGTCACAGACAAAATTTTCATATTCCCAACTTTGTAAGCGTTATAATTTTCCTTAACAACTTCTATTTCATTTTCGTTAAAAAGATGTCTATTATATGGGTATTTCATACCGAAATTTCAATATCTTCTAATGTTTCGAGCAGCGTATTTAACGTTCAAGTGTAATCTGTCTGTTATTCACAAACCAAGCAATCTAAAAGCAATAAACGCAGTTCTTAAGAATACTTTTTCTGCGTTTAATTTAATAGATTTAAATAAAAATAAATTTAAAACAGAAGATATCTAATTAGAAATCTTAAATATTTTTATGAAATTGTACTAAACGAAGCTGCTAATAGAACGAAACTCAAAAGGTACCAGAATAGAGAGAAACTTAATGATATAAACATACATTACCAATTTCATGTCTTTTACAAGTGATTGTCTCTTACAGATACTGCTTAGCTCTAGTTTGAAACAGAATATGTTAATATTTCGACTGTCAGACATTTTATATTAAATTTCTCCCCGTGCATCCTTCCCTTTAATCGATAAAAAATTGCGAATGAAAAAGCTTTCCCTATTGATTATTGGCACTTCCTACTCTTTTGTTAAAACTCTTTCTGCACATGTTTATAAAATATCACACAAAGAAGAATGAATGCTGTTGCGTGTCTCCCAATAGTAACAAACAATATATTTCCTTCTTTGAAGCCCCTTTGATATTATATGAAAACTATAGATAAAGTGCACAAGTTTTGTATTTCTAATAGTAAATGATAAAAGAGCGTGCAAAAATATCATCAAAATCTGGTAGGAAATACGAATTGCTATGCATAAAAATTGATAAAGTTTCAAAATATTTAAAAAGACCCATGGTACAAAGTATTGTTAACGGTCTGAGTTTATTATGACATATATAAAAATTTAAAAGAATTTTTTTAATCAAGAAAATCTCAAAGATTTCAAATTTTAATGGTCACCTAAAAGGGTTTTTTAAGGTTTTTCGCACTCTTGTTGAGCTCGCAGTCTATCTGCTCTTGCATTCACAACTCCTAACTTTATATTTTTTCTCTTTTTGATCTTCTTAGCTTATTTATTAAGCACCGTTTTCTTCGCCTTTACGCCATATAAAGTTCAACAAGAAATAAAAGCAATTTTACAGCTGCATAGCAGCATATGTTTAGAATTCCTGGTGGAGTTAAGTGTTGGCATACATTTTTATATTTTTTTTCATTCTCAGTTCACCATATCAATGTTCTATTTTCTTAGCTACGATGGTTAAAACATTTTTTTCTTTTTATTATTAACTTTTTATGCGTTAACTTTTATTTATTAAATATTAGATTCTTCGCAATTCTGCCACATAAGCCTCAATGGTACTTTTCTGTTTCGCAGGAGCAAATCTCGCCAAGCAGACTTTGTTGGCGACAACATACAGTATACACATAAAAAATATTAACAAATGTTAGTTCTGAGAATTTTTTATTTTGAAGTCATAAACATTTTAATATGGTTGAAAATTTTGTAAAAAGCCAATAAATAAAGACAAAAAATTTGTAAAATAACATTAGTTTAAGAATTTACTATGCTTTCATGGTTCAACATCCTGATTCGCCGGTTCGTATCACGTGACCCCAAGTGATCTCATCTCACGTAAACTAAGCTACAAAAATATAATTCTCTCAGAAATTATCTACATTAATTTCAAGTTAAATCTGAATTTGGAATACCAGTTTAAATCTAAGAATTATTTCAATTCGTACAATAACTTACTCAGAAATTATGTAAAACCGCAGTGCTTTACTTCGCTAGTGCATTCTGATTAGAATTGATGAATTTAACCCTTGATTTTGCCTTTTCTATATTTTCGCCTTCGGGTGAGCTGTTTGATGGCATCCTAATTTACTTAATTACCGTGAATGGCCTTAGGGCATAAAATTGAACTATCTGGTTAAACTTCTATGTAATTGTATGCCAGTATTGAAAGAAACAATCAGTCTGATAAGAAATGGCTGCAACTTGTTTTGAAACTGAGGCGGAAAAAATTACCAATGAAGATATTCCTTTTGGCATCAGTTGTACCATTATTGGCGACTTTATCGTTTGCACCGGCAAAACGGAAAAGTACCAATTCAATTCATCAGCAAAATCACAAAATACTTAAAAACAGTATATCTTTAGAATTCTAGATAGAGGTTGCCATGAGTATTTTTATATTTGCTATATTACATCTTTAAAAATTAACTGCTCTTGCAGCCAGCCGCTTAAAATTTTTATCACAAAAAAGAAAAGTGTATATTAATTTTAATGACTCCAGCTAGTGTAATTTCATAAAAAATTGAATTTTTCTAATTAGAAATCTCATGATTTTAATGCATTTTTATTTAAATCAATCACACTGAAAAGTAGAAAAATACTGTGTTTATTGCTTTAAAATGACTTAATTTATTACTCAGTTACCTTCCAGATTTATAGTAAAAGTATCTTACGCTTTACTAAACAGCAACACGCTGGCGCATGGAAGATAAAATTATTTTACTTCTCGCCGGTACAGTACGTTGCTTTTATAGAGTGGAATTTGTTAATTAAATCTGAAAGATAAATGTCATTTTTCCCGATATCAACAGTCTCGCGAGCTGGAAATAAAACTGTTTTATTTGGAACAGAGTTGCTACTTCTCGGTTTGAGTTTGACAACATAAAATTTATTAAAATCTTGCAAAATACGAAATAAATAATAAAATAAATTCGAAACTCAAAATTCGGGCTTTAGTCGCACATGTTTGGAGAAAGGACTACGTTATGCGAAACTTGAGGATTCTAGGTAACGTCTCTTTCCACAAGGCGAGGAACATGTACTATGCGTATGTATATGTAGATTCTTCATTATTTAATTTATTTTAAAATAATACAGAGCAAAGCTGTTTAGTGGCAATAATTTGAATAATAAATCATCCATCTAAAGTGAACTGACATTCATAGTGATACGACGGAAAATCTCGTTTGGAAATTAATAGCCCTTTTTGGGCTAAAAATAAGCTAAAATCTGGAACAGAACGTTATTGCTTTGAATCTGGGGATGGCCGAATTCAGCACAACAAGATATGTTCCAATATAGGAAATATTATACAACGTTTCTGTAAGCTAAAATGTTTAAATCTAATTCAAGAAATAACTTTAGTCATGCCATAGCTCCAAACCAAACGCTGTAATAGATTACTAATGCAACAAAAATAACAAAAACAACAGCTGCAAAATGTGCAATAAAATCAAATATGCAATTATCAATGTGCAATAAAATCAAATATGCAATCAAATGTGCAATAGGCATAAAATCAAAGAACTAAAAACATAATACACATATTTCAAAATATAAAATTTAAATTAGTTTTACTCGATTTTTAAATAAAGTTTCTTTCTATGCATGTGTGTGTATTTATGCGTAATACGAATACGAGCTAACTTTCCTTAAAAAGACTTTTTCTCAGTGAAGGCATAAATTCTTCCCTCTCGTTAATTTTAGATATAGATAAAACTCTTGTATGCTTTACCGTAATCCAATAAAACAGTCTTTCTTCTGGATTATAATATCTTTTCTCCATTACCACCCCAATCCTAGGAATTTTATTCTTCTCTCCTTTCTTTATCCAAGTTTTAAATCCTTCCTTTAACGTACTTTTCATATCATATATATCCCAATCCATATAAAACACCATACAATAGTACTTACTTATAAGTGCATGTATTTTTATATGTATTGTTATACGAAATGTCCAGGCAATATGCCATAGACGGATGGAGAACTTTCTGGAACCAATTCTTACTGGTTTAGCGCAGAATGTTCTCGAACACAAGCCAAAAGCTATATAAACCTTGCTGGTACGGAGAGTCAGTCAATGTCTCGTCTAGTGAGTTGATACTCAATAAGTGCCCCAGTTAAGAGTCAGCAAGCGAGTGTCTCGTAGTCTAGTGCCGAGTTAGTTGTCCAGTGCACCGAGAGACTCTCTTAGCGTATCGCGAGTTAGTGCATCGTGGAGTTTCATCTTAGAGTGTGTTGAGCTCCGGGAACGACTGAACTGAGTCGGGAGCTGTACTCTAGCGTATCGTCGAGTGCATCGCGAGTTGTAATGTGTGGAGAGTCTCGAGAATATGTAGAGCTCCGAGAACGACCGAGCAGAGTCAGGAGCTGTAGTCTGGTGCTTTGTCGTTGTCTTCACCAGTATAGCCTGATAGTATGAAGGCTGTGTCGCTGATTGTTTCAGCGTGTTTATAGTTCTTCGACGACTGTAAACGTGTTATTGGAGCTGTCTTGAATAATACTGACCAATAAACTGTGTTTTGATACTCTATCAAGTTCTGTCGTCATTATTCACTCCAAATACACGAACTCGTCCCGTACGTAAAGAAGAAAAAACGCAACAGTATCTATGTATGTATAAATGCATGTATGTATGCATGAATGCGTAGCCCTATTCCTATCTAATGCAGAAAATCATTTTTCGAATGTTGATAATAATGTAATCCATGGCATAAAAACAAACATTTCTTCGTCCATTAGAAAGCTTAGCCGCCTGGCGACGCAATAAATGTTTACATTTGGAACCTCAAAGATGCAACAGCAGCGCCATATAGTGATCGCGACCTTTTAACCCTTTTTCAACCATGCAGTGTCACCTCCTTCTTTATACTCCGCGGTTTTAGAATAATAATGTTGTTTTATGTGATCGATGTCTTAAAAAGTAATAAATAATTTTCTTTGAAATATAGCAGTGGAAATTTATGCTTAAACATATAAATAGCGTTTTGTGATGTAGCAACCACTAGGCCTGCTTCAATCTGATGATCACATGATCTGATGTCACGATTTTAAGATTTCGATTTTGTTAATTTAACTTGCTTTACTCTAAGACTAATGCTGGTGAGATGATTGTTTACATGTTTTTTTTTTGTTTGTTTGTTTGTTTGTTGTTGTTGTTTGTTTGTTTGTTTGTTTTGTTTTCAAAAATTTTGTATTTTATTGAAAGGTAAACTATTATATTGTGAATTCGAATTTATGAGAAAAAGTGTGTTTCAGAATGCCAAGAAAGTGTAGTGTACCTAAATGCAGATCAAATCACGAAGGCATCTAATAAACATGTACCCACTTTTAAATTTTCCTCGGATCCTGTACTCTCTCAGAAATGAGTAAAAAATATGAATCGAAAAGATTTTGTATCTTCAAAATACAGTGATGTATGCATTAAGCATTTCGAGGAAGAATTTATCATTCGGCAGGATAAAGCTGTTCGTGATGATTGAACAATATTAGTAGTTCTGTAAGTACACGTGTTATGAATCGTCAGGTGACAAAGAGATACATTTGGCCTGGCAATAAACAAAGATTGTCAGTTGTGGTCTACAGCATGCTTTCAGTGTCAACGAGGCAAAGTTGACAAACATACCTATGCTGCAGCTGCTGAATTCAGAGTTCCCAATCAACGGTTCAAGCACCTTTATCAGGTTCAATGTTTCTTCTAACCTTCTTC